ACATTTCATTCCTGCAGTTCTCTGCACCCTTCTGGTCTGAGCGCTGGGAGTTCAGGCACAGAGAGGCGGGTTCAGTAGATAGCATGATGCATAGAGAGAAGTAGGCTGGTCAGTGAATGTTTTTGGAGCAGTTACTATGTGTCAGCTGTGCTCCTGATGCCGTAGAGCTCAGTCTGGTAGGGAAAATAACGGAAGTGAGGATGTTAGCACCAACTAGCCCTGTAACGTGGGCAGTGTGACACCCTGGGTTTTGCGTTCCTCAGCTGTGAGACCTGGGGCGGTGGGTGCTCCCCAGGCACCTTTGATTGGGTGATCTTCCTGAGGCAGCATCTTCCAGGCTGCCAGCCTTTCTGTCTCCCAGTGACCTCCAGTGCATTTAGAAGGCTGAAATGGTTTTGTGATTAGCCTCACGATAGTTGATGGGGGTTGGCGGGAGGACAGTTGGCTTTCTACAAGCAAAGGGAAAGAAAGGGAAAAACAAACCCACGAAACAGGTTTTCAAAAAACATTTTGGGGGACATTGCATAGAGGAAGATTGTCACCATTATTTAGGAAAGATGGTATTTTTGCTTCAGAATTGGAGCCGATCCCAGCTTTTCACCTCTGTGCATGCATACCTGGTCAGTTCCAAACATCAATTTACCCCTTTTCTCTTCTGATTCTGCTCCCCTAAGTCAGCCTACTCGGCACCCTCCTCCCCTGAAGAGGCCTGAGAGGACAGAAATTGGGCTGGAACTAATTTAATGGCTGAGTGACCTCACAGTAGAGAAACAGCCGGATCCTAATAGGGGTCTTTGTCTGCATTTCCACCCTGGCTGGTAGCATGCCAGTCAAGAGTCAAGCTAGAGACACAGGTGGAAGCGATTAGACCTGTCATAAAGTTTGAAAAATTGATTCTGGAGGCGAAGTGAATAGATTGAACTTGACAGTGTTGTCCTAGAGATTCTAAGGGAAAATTCTGTAGTTTAATTTGAAATCCCTTGATTATTCATTAGCTTTCCAGATGGCTTTTGTTGATGTTTTACATATTAATGCCTGTATTGTGTTATTGGTGTACTCGTAATGTGCTCATAGGTAATGAGCAAAGAATAAGTACGTGGGTAAGTGTCCCAAATTAATGGGATGTTAGTGTAATTGTGGAATAAAGGGTTTTAAAGAAGTTGATTGCTTTGGAATAATTAACGTGAGCTTTTTTATGGGCCAATTTGGTACTTTTAAAGTGAAAATTATTGGAGAATTTTAAAGAAAGCTGCTTTTTAATGTTTACTTCTAAATTAAGGTTTAGACTATAACTCCAGCCTTTGACTCTGGTGGTTATGACTACAGGGTTATTCTGGCAAGCTCTCCATCAAATGCTTTTTTTAGGGTCTCCGTTCGGCACCTGATTAGGTTAACCGTTCCCACGCCAGCCTCCTGGAATTGAATTATGAAGTGGCCTGTTGTTCTCCAGGGGTCCTCCCCATTAATTTTCTGTGTTCTAGGATGTTTACTTTTCCATTTTGTAACTGGTTTTCAGAAGTTGGGTGAACCATTTTGTGATGGTTACAGTGTGTTCTATTTAGATGGCATTTTCAGCTCTTTGTCAACGTCGGACAATGTTCAACTCTTGGTCAACCTGGAAGGTCCCACGTTTTCCCGTACAGAAGCGTGAGAGTGAATGCAGCCGCCAAGGCCATGCCGGGCGAGTGGCGAAGCCGCCCCGCGGTGGCCGGTTCTGCTGTGCTCGAGGCGGTGGACACACGTCCTCTGGCGCCCTCTTCCAGATCGGCTGCCCGGTCTTTTACGTGTTCTCAGTGGTGGTGGTCGTGATCTTTGAGGGTATTCCTGACTTTTCGAGAAAAAAAAAGAAAAACAACACTAGATACTCAAGTCAGGTATCCATCGTGGGAAGTATTCGCAGAAACTGCGAGGTTCCCATATTCACTCGTTTCGCATTGGCGAGGATCGAATGTCTCGGTTTGACCCAGGGGTTAGGTCGTGGGGTGGGGCACTGCCGTCTTTATGTTTAGTCGGGATTGTATTTACTCGGCATGCCAGTTCTGCCTTGTACTACATGAGCGTGGGGCAAATCGGTTACCTTTCAGACCTCCATCTCCTTGTCTGTATGATGTAGCTGGTTAAGAGTCTCTGGCCTTTTTTCCTTTTTAAATTCAATCAGCTGATGTCTCTTCAGCACCAGCCACATGCAAGACTCTGCACTAGGCTCTGGGACCCAGTGGCGAATACGGCAGATGGGGACCTCTCCTCCAGGTGCCTGCATCCACTCCAGGACAGGGCGAGGACGTATCGAAATATGTCTGCAACGCTCTTAGCACGTCGCTCATATTTATAGGACTCACGTCATTATTTTAACTTTGGGTGTGATTCTTTCTTTTTGACCTTCACGGTGAATTCTTCAACGGCAGTGCCCCTGAGTGTCCATGAAGCAAATCAGCATTGTCTTTGTTCAGTGTGTTTTGTTGGGGTAGACTTGTTGAAGATTTTGACAGCTTTTTCTTGTTATAACTAGAAGCATGATGGCTCATCGCTGGCTATCATTTTGCCAAAAAATATGGTGTTTTAGTCCAGCTTTTCTTGGAAGATGAGAAAACATAGTTTATGTTTGTGTTTCCCTTAAAATATGTGAATCTAGTTCTCTGTTTTTTATCAGACTTCCTCTTTAAAAATCTTAACGCTTTATCATTTTCGTAGGTGACAAGTCACTTTGAAAGAGCCAGATCTTCCACTGTTTGGACATTTTTATTAGTCCACATCTTCCTAGAGATCCCTCAACCTTTGTGCCAGTCAAAATGCATGGGTTCGATCTTGCTTTATTTTCTCGAATTTCTTTAAACATCTCAGATATTTATTACTCTGTGGAACTACTTGATTGTGTACTATATCTGATATTTAGTATACAATTTGTCAAATGCCTCTGTTATATTAAAACAAGTAATAAAGGGACGTAAAGGTAATAAAGCAAGGTTTAGGGCTAGAGAAGGCAGTCAAAAAGATGGTGACAGGGAGTTCTCTAAATGTTTTTCTCTCCAGTTCTGATTTATCTTAGCGAGAAAGCTGAGTGCCAACTGTAGTTTAGGAGCGAGCTGCGTCCTCCGATGGTTGAGGATATTTTCACTCTAGTTATAGAATTCAAAAGAGTCACTTCTTAGCAGCAGGGCCATTTAAACGACCTCGGAGTACCCAGAGTGAGCTGATTAGAAATTTGGCTTGCACTGGGCAAGGCAGTGTGCGATATACTGACAGCAGGTCTTGGAGTGTCATTAGCTACTGGCCTGGGGCAGATTCCAGGACTTCTCATCTTAGATGGGCAAGCCGTAGAGATGCCCACGCATAGGAATGCCACTCATCGTAGGAGTCACAGGGAATCGTGAACGGTAAAGCCCTTGGCGCCATCTCCGACATGGAGCAGGTGGTCGGTGAATGCTGGTTTTATCTCCTCTTTGCCTGTCCACTGAGACAGGTGCTTTCCCCAGGTGGAGGCCGCTGATGGCCACGTGTGCAGAAACGGCAAAAATGAAGCTCGAGGATGTGTTCCAAGATTCTAACGCAGTGAGAAATGTACAGTAAGGAAATAGGATTTCTAACACTCGGTTACGTGACACCACGAATGGACCTTGAGGATATTGTGCTAAGTGAAAAAGTCAGACAGAGAAGGATAAGTACTGTATGATATTATTTGTATGTGGAATCTAAAAACTCCGTGGAAACAGTAAAATGGTCATTACTAGAGGATGGGGGGAAGGGGAATAGAACAGACGTCGTTTAAGGCACAGACTTGCAGGGCGTTGTACAGGCACACCTAAGAGAGAATGCGGGTTCGCGTCCGGAACACCGCAGTCAAGCGAATGTCGCAATAAAGAGTCGCGAATCTTTTGGTTTCCCGGTGCCTATGAAGTTATGTTTACACTAAACTCGAGTCTATTAAGTGCAAATGCATTATGTCCAATAAAACAATGTAACCTTTTTGCTGCCGGAGGGTCTTGCCTCAATGTTGATGAAAACGCAGTATCTGTAAAGCGTAATTAAGCAAAGCTTAATAGAATGGGCTATACCTAAAATTAGGTCCTGGAGCTCTAATACCCAGTATAGTGAATATGGACAACAGTATCGTATTGGAATCATCAGACTTGTTAAGGGACAATCTAACCACTAAAAAGAAATGATAATTATGTAATGCGATTGAGGTGCCAATTATTACTACAATGGTAATTTTATTATAACATGTAAATGTATCAAAATAACATCTACACTTTAAATTTATGCAGTGTTATATATCAAATACATTTCAATTAAAAAGCACTTCTCTAAATGCACAAAAATCCATTTGGGTTTATGAATGAGCATTAATTTCTAAGTGGAAAAATGTTAAATATTCTTAGAATTTAGTGTTCACGATGATTCAAGTATGATCACTCACCTGTATACACAGACAAGTGGTGAGGGTAGATACTGAGCTCTGGGTTAAAAAAAAAAAAGCGTTAGGTACAAATCTTTCTATGCGTTGGATGATCGAGCAGATATTTTCCCTTCGCCATACTCAGCTTCCCTTCCCCCATTTCCATTTCTCCCCTGACTGCTTTGGGACTCACTCAGAAGAACTTCTGTTTTTCTTTTAAATAAAACACTTACCTGCTTTGGAGGTGAGGGCTGATTTGCTTTCATCTGCCCCTTTAAGATCTTTTACACACCTACCTTTTGGCCAAACACACTCAGAGCTCTGAAATACCCTAGTTTCTGCTTTTTGTTTTGGAGAGAAGCATGTTCTGTTTCTGCATGAGGGGTATTCCGTCACTCTGAGATCTCAAACGCCACATTTTTCCTGCATTGCACAAGGAGTCGAGTCATTCATCATTTTCATTCTTTGTCTGGTTCTCCCACAAGAGTATTCAAATTAGCGAGCAGGAAAATGATGAAGTCATTGCCTGGAAGAGAAGCATTTTCCTGGGATGTGGGAAGGGGAGAGGAGACGAGCCGAAGGAATCGTGGAGAGATCTGTACCTATGTCTTTTCCTGCCCTTGGATTTCGGAGGTCACCTGGGTGCTCATACAGTTTTTGCGGTTTAAAATTGGATAATCTGTGGGAATAGAATTTACCTAAAAATGACACTGCACAGTGGAGTGGCGGTGTTGATGACCCTGGAAGCTTAGGCTATAACTTGATCTGTGCCTTTCTGACATACCAGCTGTGTGATGTTGGGCGACTCATCCACCCTCGCTGGGCCTGTGTCCTCATCTGTAGAACAAGAGGGTTGAACTAGACCTGTGGCTTAATTATTTAAAGCAATAAAGCCCCTTTTCAAATGAAGCACCCGCTGTAAAAATGGGGCTGGAGGCCTTCTCAGAGCCCAGGTTCCGCAGGGCGTGGGCGTCAAGACCACTGGCCAGGGGTGACCGACGTCCTTCCAACTAAGACCCTCTGGCTGTGCTGACTGGGGACAGTTATATCTTAAGGGCTGACTGATTGGCTGGACTCTTTCTTTTTTTTTTTCTTTTCTTTTCTTTTTTTTTCAATGAAGTTGAAACTGTATTTATACTAAATGTAGGACAAAAAAAAAATAGAGAAGCGGTAGTCGGGAAGGGCCACAGCACTGACCCACAGCGGCGAGACCCGGGATGTTCGCCTTCGGGAATCAGGCCAGCTGTTTCCCTGACGTGACTTTCACACGTTCCAGGTCTTCCACCGGGCTGAAGGGGCCGTGGAGCTTCCTCCAGCCCACGATGAGCTGGGCCTTGTTTTGGCCAATGCGCTGCAGGCTGCGCAGATACCAGGCTGAGCTTTCGTGAAGCAGATCGAATGTTGTCTGACACCCACAGACCAGTAGCTCTGGGCTGATCCGTAGCTCACAACAGTCCTCAGCCTTCTCCAGCGGCTCCGAGCCATCTGGGCACTCCAGCTTTCTCTTGCAGCTTTTCTTCAGGGTACGGATGTCGGCATTTGGGGATGCTGCCTGCTCCTGTCTTAGTTGTAGGGGCATCTCCACAGCCTTCTCGAGGGGCTTAGTGACCATGACTATGCGGCGGGCCAAGGGTCGGAGCATCGTGGGAGAGCAGTTCTCTTTCGGGTCCACAGCTTCCTGGGCCAGCACCTTGGCTTCCAGTTCTTTTTGCTTTATCTTAAGCCTTTCACTCTTCCAATCCTTTTCCTCCACTGTCTTCATGAGCACCATCCACTCTTGTCTTGGGGTGCTCAGCAGAGGGGTCCCCTGGGTTCCCCGGGAGCCCAGCAAATGGTCCAAGCTCAGGAGGCGCTCCAGCATGGCCGGGTCCATGCTACTTAGCTTCTGTAGGGGGCTGAATTTCTGGGAGGCAGAAGCTAGAAGTGCGGGGGGCTCAGGATTTCCAATCTCCTCTTCCTCAGGGCCTCGAGTTTTCTTTGCCTCTGAAGGACCTAGCTGTCCTTTCTGAGACAGTTTAACAGGTGCCAAGACATGAAGCTGCAGGCTCTCACTGGTAGAAGGTCGATTGATCACCTCCTTGCACCTGGCAGCAAAGTCGAGTGCAGGGACTGTGTCTAGGTAGAAGCCTCTCTCGGGGGCAGTGTTGGCACTGAGGATGCTGTGGACTGAGCCACGCGGAGAGTCCTGCGACAGGTGAGGCAGGCCCTCGTTCTGCGCATCCACCACCTTGCCCAGCACAAAGAGGGAGGTGTCGAAGGCTCTGTTCTCCTCTCCTTCAGCCGCAGGCCCTTGTCGCTCACGTGTCTGTTGTCCCCCGCCCGAGGCAGCCAAATCAGTCAGGTAGAGTTTCCCTTCCCGCTGGCGAAATGGGGCCAGACGTTCCCGCTGATCCACCTTAACCAAAAGCGCCGCATGACTGCAAAAGGCACGCTGGTCGGGCCGGGTCGCTCCTACAGTCCGCTTTCGACTGGCTGGGAGGACGTGCCGCTCAAAATCAGCAAAGCTAGTGATTGGCTTCTGTGTGAGGCCTGGAATCGGGATGTTTCCTCGACAGTCTCCTCTGCTCACCAGGTCTCCTGGAGCAGGGTCTTTTCCTGGTCGATCTCTAAGTAAGAGGTAGTGACGGAGAGGATCCGTGGCCGACCCTCAGCGCCCTCCTCCCTTGTGAGCTTAGGAGGTCCACGAGAGCCTGGGGAATCACTCCATGTTGCTCTGAGCTGCCCAGCATTGTGTGCGTCTTCCCTGCCCCTGTGGGCCCATGGGCGGCAAGCAGGCTGGCATTCTGCCCTTCCAGCAAGTACCTTAAGATAGGCCGTACTAATCCTGCGTAGATGTCCTGCCGAGAGCTCCTCTCCCCATAGGAGGCATCACACTGGTATTTGAGAGTCTCCTGGTGGTTCCTGCAGTTGGCGATCTCTAGAGAACAGCTGTCCAGGTCCCGTACACACAGGGTCTCGTTTGCTCCGGCTGTTTCGTCTACAAATGGCCTCGGTCGCGCAGCCGCCCTCGCTCTAGCTGGAGGTGGCCGCCGGCCAGCTCCCATGTTGCTTAGCCGACAACGAGCAGGTCCTGAGGGAGCAGCCACCGTCTCGCCTCGCCTCAGCCGCACCGAGCCCCCTGCTCCATTCCTGGACTATTTCTTTTTTATACCTTCCCTCGTTCCAAGAGGATTTAAAGCAATGGGGATTTAAGCTTATCTGTTCCGGTGTAGGTTCTTTCTACCTCTTGTGCAATCAAAATGGAATACGACATGTTTCTTGGTTGTTAGGTGTCATTTGAAAGCTGTACGCACATTATTTATAAAACTCAGCACTGTTCAGAGTTCTGTGACTTCTCCAGACTAACAGTAATGAGGGCCGAGTAACTGGTTCCTTCTGGAACCCAGGGACACCTATGCGGGCCCCATGCTTCTGTTACGCTAATAAGCAGCTGTTGTCTTGAGGGAGGGGTCATGATCCAGGTGGTTATTCAGATATCTCCCAGGAGAGATGAATGATATGTGAGAGGAACAATCTCTGCAGGAAGAGCTTCCACCTCAAATACTCAGAATCCAGTAGAGGGTGATACCTTGGAGTACACTCAGCCGCCGTGGGGAACGCCCTCGTTCCTAGAACCCTGAGTGTCCTGGGAGGGCGAAGAGGGGGAGGGTGAAGAGGGTCGAGAGGCAGCGGGTTGCAGGAGGCGGGGGTTGGGAGTTCGGGCCGATATGTAATATCTTGCATGAGGTCTTGGCCAGCATTTTAGTTCTTGGGGTTGCAGTGAAGCTTGCTGGGCTCGTTAACCGAGGGAGCGTAGAATTCTCGGTGGAGTGAATGCGAGTCTGGTTGTGTTGGCTTGGTCATTGGTGGAGAGTTTGAGGTTGAGGATTTATGCAAGTTACAGCTTTCTCCCTGCTTTCCTGGAGTTTTTATTTGTAACCTTTCAGTATCCTTCCTACTTCTGAAAATATCCTGTGGCACCTTCTTTTTTCTCAACTTAAACAAAATGAAATGTAGTTTGATTTGTTACATTCTGTGGTATCTGTGGGGTAACACAGTAGGAGAAGCTTGCCAACCAGGATTCCGATGTGGAGCTTGTCTTACAAGAATCTGTTTTTGTTTTTGTAGTTTTTGATTTTTGCCTCCACTTCTGTTCTTTTTATGTAAAGTATAAGGGCCTCCCACCTGTTCACAGTCATCAGAGGCCTTCTTGGAGGTTTCGCCCGAGACCAGTGGAGATAGAGCACCATTATGATTTCACTTTTTTTTTTTAATGTGGTGTCTGCAAAATTGTCATGCAGCAGACCCAAAATTTCCAGCACAATGTTTTCATAATTGGGTTAGAATGAAGGATTTCACATCTGCTAAACCCCAAATCAGATAAACAGCACGTACCAGAAGTCTCATAGCCTCTGAAATATGCGAGGTGCCTACAAGGCCAGTCACCCCCTAGTGCCCAGATGTCCTCTGCACTGTGTGGGTGTGTCCGGGCACCCAGGTGGTGAGCAACTTCGTTCAGCTGACAAATATTTATTGAGCTCTTGTAACTCGAGGTAGCTCGTTACAATTATGTTAGGAGAGCACCCTCTCCCCTGGATGGGTCCTTGTCACCTGTTCCATTCCAAAAAAGAAATCTGGGCATGGATCCCAATAGAGGAAATTTAACTTACTCCCAAATGATAGTTAAGATCAGTTAATTAGTTAAGATGGATATTTATGGCCTCCTTTACCTCCATAATCTCTTCTCTGAGCATCTCCAGTAATAAACATTTTTTCACATCCCCATATTCGAGGTCAGAACTTTAGGTCCGAAGGACCAAAAGGATTGATGTAAAGCCAGTTGGGGCATATAAAACTACTCAAATTTATTTTTCTCAAAATAGTTTTCAATTTTAGGAAGATTCTTGTCAGTTATAGGAAACTTGGAAATGTAGCAATGAATAAAAAGGAAATGAAAACTATAACCCTACCACTTATAAAAGATCATGTTAATCTTTTGGTGTATTTCCTTCTAGTCTTTTTTCCTCCTGTACAACATATGTAAACTTCTGATTGTATTATATATGAAACTGAAGAGGAATTTTCATTTAAAAAAGGCTAATCAGCTCTCTGTTCTGCTTCTGTAAATATGCTTGCTGCATGGGCTGTACTTGAAATTGACTAAAGACTCACCTTCCCTTTGCTTGTTCTGTCTAAGCAACAAATGTAACTCTTTGTGCCCCCTAGCAATCCCTGAGCTTTGTAGCACTTTGTAACTGCTGGTAGCCCATAGCAACTCCCGCTGCTTTGTAGCGGCCTGAGTTCAAATTACCCAATCAGGCCATGCTGAAATGGTCTATGTAAGGAATGTTGCAACTGAGCTCCGGGCCCAGAGCACTAGCTCTTCTAGGTCAGCGGGCATAATAAACCTGAGTTCTCCAACTCTCCGAATGCTGCTTGGTTTCTCGTTGGTCTGATTTTGGATCTTTTCCGCAACAAAACAAGCACTTCAAATGATTTGCTAAAAACACTTCTTTTATTAGGTGCATGTAGTTTGACCATAACTTATTTAAGCAATTTCCTGTGAATGCAATCTTGTAATTTCCAATATCCAGTACCAATTATCAATACTAAGTATATATATTTTTTGAGATAGCAGTTCTGTATAATTCTTTAGTGACCCCATTACAATATTTTTTCTAGAAGATAATTGGAAAATTATAAAACAAGCAGACCTTGATAGAACAGGATGAAGCTAATAATATTTGTCATTATTTATAATATTTCATATTATTTTAATCACTATTACACAGTTATCTCACATTATTTCATCCTTTGTCCAGAGAGATGTCATGCCTTAATCCTAATAGTTAACACTAATTCGGTGTTTACTACGTGGCAGGTACTGTGCGTTATGTGTATTTTTCCCATTCAGTCTTTACCGAAACCCCATGAGACAGGTACCTTTATAGTTCCTGTTTTAAGAGATGAGGGCACTATCGCTTAGACAGTTAAAATAGCTTGACCAGAGCCACATAAAGCGTTAAATGGTAGAAGCAGCATTAGAAAGATTTGTTGTCTCAAGAGCCTTCTTTAGCCCCTAATGCTATACTATCTTCAACAGATGCTTTGCTGAAATCCTAATACACTATATCCTCCGTACTTCCAACGTTTTCTTATGTTAATCTTGTTACAAAAAGAAGTCAGGTTAGCTGACACATCTCATTCTTAAGTTTTAAATAAGGTACGTGCTGGAAAGAACTATAATGGGAATCCTAAGTTAAAGTCCTAGTTCTTGAGTTTACTAGCAGGACAAGTTACATAACTTGTTTGTTCCTCTGTACTATTGTCTGCAAAATATGGACAGTTAGTACCTGTATTAATGGGTCATGATCTGGATTAAATATAAAAGTGTATAAGAAAGTACCAGTATAGTTCCTGTACTGTATGGTGCTCATTAGTAGTATTTTTCTTATTTCCTTGAATTTCAGCTGGGATAGGACATCTTTAGGTAGTACAATTTCCTTTGAAAATTAGAATGGCATATTTGCTTTAGCTTGTCTAGTTCACAGTAATCTTTCAGAGATGAGCCATAATAAATTTAATTATATTTCCCCATGTTCTCAAGTTCCGTAAACTTGAAAATAGATCAACAATATTTATTTAGTTTGGAGAAGAGAGAAGATGATCGAAAAAATAAATCGAGGCTCAAGAACCTGTGGGATGATATCAAAATGTCTAGTGTGTGTATAATTGGACTCTCAGAAGAAGAAGAAGAGAGAATGGGTCAGAAAAAACTATTTGAGGAATTAATGGCTAAAACATCCCCCAACTTGGAGAAAGACATACATTGATAGGTTCAAGAACCTTAGCAAACCCCTAACGAATAAATATAATGAAAATAGACCTTGGCACATCCATAGTCAGACTGTTAAAGACCGAAGATAAGGGGACAATATTGAAAGTAACCAGAGGAAAACACCACTTTACGGACACTACGGATTGAAGGGCCACGGCTTTCTCATCATAAATTATGGAAGTTAGAAGAGAGTGAACAACATTTTTAAAAGGCTCAAAGAAAAAAAAAAAAAACAAACTTGTCAGCCCAGAATTCTATACCCAGCAAAAATATGCTTCAACAACGAAGGTAAAATACATTTTCAGATAAAAGAACACTAAGACAAGTTGTCATACTGCAGATCTGCTGGGAAGAAATGCCAAAGGGTGTTCCAAAAGGTGATGAGAAATCACCAGATGGAAACTTGGATTTTTAGGAAGGAATGAAACGACAAATATCTGAAAGTTAAAATACTTTCTCCCACTTTATTTCCTTAAAATATATGACTGTTGAAAGCAAAAATTATAACATTGTCTTGCATAATCCTGTGTTTGTTGATGTAATACATATGACAACTAGCATAAAGGACAGTGGAGAGGCGGTAGATTGACCTATATGAGCACAATATTTCAATATCTGATGTGAAATGGTATAATATAAACTCAGTTGATGTATAAACTAAGCATATGTATTTTAATCTCTAATCACTAAAAACATAAGGCAATAGATGAACTAAAATATCCAAATAGTCCAAAAGAAGACAGAAAAAAGGAACTGAGAAACAAAAAATAGAAAGAAAAAAACAAAAATGAACAGAATGATAGACCAGATTTTGCCTTACTAATAATTACAGTAAACGATAATGGACTAAGCACTGTAGTTAAAAGGCAGAGAATGTCAGAATGGGCATGTATATATGTACACAAAACAAGACCTGAGTATATGTTCTCTTTAAGACACATTTTAGTTATAAAGACACAGATAGGTTAAAAGTAAAAGGATTTATCATGCAAACAATAAGCTTAAGAAGGCTGCAGTGACTTTAACATGCAATACAGTAGACTTCAAGACAAAGAATTGCAAAAGGTAAAGAGGGGTTATTTCATAATGATAAAAAGTTAAGCCCATTGAGAAGATATAATTATTATAGATGTGTATTTACCTAACATGAGAAATTAGAAAATATTTTGAAATTAAAGATTATCTAAATAAATTGAGATACTGTGATTGTGGATCAGAAGACTCAATAATAAGATTTCTGTTTGCTTTAAATTGACTTCTGGGTTCAATTTAAGTTCAGTTAAAACCACAGCAAGAGTTTTAGTAGAAACATATAAGCTTATTCTGAAAGTTACTTAGAATTTACATAAAAATGGAAGAGTCTTACAGTAGAGAAATAATTTTGAACAAGAACAAAGTTGGAAAAGTCGTATTACTCAACTTTAAGACTTGCTCAAGTACTGTGATAATCAAAGCTGTCTGGGATTGATATGAACAAAAAATTGATCAGTGGAACAGAATATCTAGAAATAGACCTGCCTTCAGTTGGCCATTCGATTTTTGAGACAGGTGTTACAGCATTCTAGTGGAGAAAGGAAAGTCAAGAAATGGCCCTGGAATAACTAGGTATATGCTCCATATAGGAACGTAAATGAATCTTCACCCCTACCTCAACTCATATGCTAAAACTGATTTGAGATGGATCGTAGACCTAAATATAAAAGCTAAAATTATAATGCTTCTAATGGAAAATAGGGTATCTTCATGACTTGGGAGTAGGCAAAGTTTTCATAAACAGGATACAGAAAGCAATAACCGTAAAAGAAAAAATCGATAAATTTTTAGACTTCCTAAAAATTAAAATATTCTGCATATCAAAAGATACCAATTTGAAAAATGAATAGACAAGCCACACACTGGGAGAGAATGTTTGCAAAATGTATACTGACAAAAACTGGTATCTATGATATATCAAGAACTTCTACAACTCAGTAGTAAAATGACAAATAGCCCAATTAAAACATATGACCAACACTTCATAAAATAAGAGTGCTAGCAACCAAACAAGCGCACAAAAAGGTCCTTAACAGTTACCATCTTCAGGAGAATACAGATTAAAACTACAACGAAATACTACTGCACACCTACTAGATTAGCTGAAAAGAAGAAGCCTGACCCCACCAAATATTAGTGAGGATGGGGAACAACTACAGTTCCCAAACATCGTCGTTGGTGAGAGTGTAAAACGGTACAACCATTTTGAAAAAAACAGTGTGGCATTTTCTTATAAAAGTAAACATGTACCTCCCTTCCAACCCATCAATCCTACTCAGAATTATTTACCCAAAATAAATGAAAATATGTGTCTCTACAAGGACTCGTACCTCATTGTTGATAGCAGCTTTATTTGCAATAGCCAAAATCTGGAAACGACCCAGGTGTCCATCAACAGGTGAATAGATACATGTAGCGATTCATACCTCGGACACAGCTGAGCAATAAAAAGGAATGAACTTCCTGAAACCTCCAACAACTTGTACAAACCTCCACAACTTTACGCAGAGTGAAAAGAGCTTTCCACAAAATAGTGCATACTGTATGGTTCCATTTTATGAAGTTTTGGAACAGGCCTATCTGACTACGGTGGGAGGAAATCAGAATGGTCATCTCTGGGGGTAGGGGTGGAGGTCCAGGAAAGGGCCATGATGAACCTTCTGAGTGATAATGTTTTTTATTTTTGATAGGGGTTTTGGTAACACAAGTGAATACATTTGTCAAAATCTGGAGCTCTTAGGATAACACCACAGGTAAATTTTACATAAATACTAAAATATTGAACTCTAGTTAAATGATATTCAGGCTTCAGTATTAAGGGAGAGAATACTGTACTTTATGTTGAAGTGCATAAAGCAATAAGCAGATCGATTGATGGATTGGTAGATATGTACTGAAGCAAATACAATAGAATATTAATGTTAGAATTTAGGTGATGGGTAATTTCACTGTCAAATTCACCCTTGCTATAATGTGTTAGTATTTTTATAAGTAATCAGCTGTGGAAGATTTTAAAAAATAAGTATGATAGTATATTTAAAATAAATTTAAATTTACAAAAATTGGATTTCTGTCGTCTTTTGGTAGGCCTGGTCGTATATGGATGTGAAGGCTACATCATAAAGGGATGGTCTTTCTTTTACTGAAGTGCACAGTTTTCTCTCCCTCCCTGAACAGAACAGCGTGAAGTATATGAAAAGTATTAAGTTCAAACTGAAGTGTTACTTTCGGTGACTTGCTGGATTATTTACTCCTTAGGTATTGGGTATTCTGAGTACTAAAATTTAAAACAAAAATCACAGTCTGTATTCTCGTTTTCTGAAATCCCAGCGGCCTAATTGCTCTTTATTTATGCCCCTAGTGAAAATATTTTAAAAATCTAAATTTGTCTGCACGTAAAGTTTTCATTTCTCACACCTCATATCGTCCAGCCTGCTGTCGGGGCCTTTACAAGTGTGTGTGGACTGGAGGCTCCCTGCTGGGCACAGGCCCAGGGTTGCAGCAAAGTGTTCTGCTTCCCGTTAAAAAGAAGAGACGTAATTAGCAGCATTCTCATTATTTAAAGCATTTTTGTTGCTGTATATTCTGATGGAACCGATGTGATTTTACTTCATAATTGCTCAAAGGAGCCTCTCTGAGGTTGGGGCAGGAGGCAGGCGCCAAAATCTCTTTCTCTTAAGGTGCTGTTTTTCAGACCCTTCTGCCCAGGTTCTTTGCAGCAGTCATGGTGGACCTGTGAGCAGTTAGCTGTCTTCTTTTAGAGTTTGGAGTTTAGGCTTTGATGGCTCTGCCTCCTCATTTTATTGATCATTCTTCCTGTTAACTAGTCTTTAAGATAGTTTTTCTAATACGATATTTTTTCCTGAAGCACTCCACCCGCAAGACTTCCCATTGACACATTCCACTACGGTTCCTTGTCAGTGACCTCCGGTAAGAAGACGGAGTTGAAAATCCTCCTATCTCCAAATTTAACAAATTTACCAATAACCAATGGAATGATGATATAGGTAGTGATGCGGCTTCTTTCTCTTTATTGATAACCTAGTTTTTAAATTATGAATGAATGACTATCTGGGAAGATATTTTAGGAAATGGGGAGGAGAAATGTGCTCATATAGGTGAAAAATCACTGTAATAACTAATCAAAATAATGAGTTAATTGCTTATTACTGTGAGAGCGACTGTCAAGAACGGTGTATGGGGCCCGCTGATGAGAACTCGCGCATACTTCTCTCCGACTCCTCCCCAGGCCCCTCTGTGGTAATAAGAAGGTAAAGTGTGGCTGGGGAGACGCAGTGGCCCAGACACGTGGTCCTCGG